TCTCGTTCCCGCTCTGTAGCATTAGCGCCGGTGGGCGTCTCAGAGAACACCGGCCGGTCGATGGACGTATACGTGTCTGTTATCACAGAAACGGACATGCTGGCTGGGACAGGAGAGGAACGCCACAGAAAGACAAGACGATGACATCGTTATGAAGGGAATTTGATAGACTGTGAAACAAACGTTAATCTTTCCTGGTCCATCTTTTGTATACAGGTGATTATTATTATGTTTTAGAAAGTTTAATACAAGCACCTCAAAAGGGGGTTGAAGTACAACACTCAAGTTAATTTAAAATCTATTTATTTATTCAATTTTTTCTTAATTTGATGTATTTTCAGTCACTATAAAAAGTTTATTGTTAAATTCTTAGAATCAGGTGCAGCTTTGGGGGAAATCCCTAACTGCCCGTTAGTTTGTAATGATGTTCACTGGAGACTGGCCAAACAACAGGACTTCATTCCTGCCTTCACATTTGGTCTGATGAGATGATGGGCTCTATGATTGCGCGTCTGCGTGCGTGCACTGAACTGTAAAAACTGCCGAGTGTCTTTGTTTGGGATTCTTGAAGCCCTCCGCCCCTTTTATTTGTTTGTTTAGGGAAGAAGTGTTGATCTCTTTTTAGTTCACGGGACACAAAAAGACCAATTTGATCCCAAATGGGCCAGACAAATAGCACTGTCGTATAAGATCCTATAAAAACATTAGAAAATGGTCCCTTTCTTTTTCTGTCAGATGCACTGTTTGTTTGTTTGTTTCTTTTTTCTTTTTCCTTTTTTTCCATTCTTTCAGTTATTGTACTCATTACATACATTTTCCCCAAATTCTTTGAGTATTTATTTGAAATAATCACTAATCATCTAAATAACGTCCAAAACAGGTTTTTTTTAAATCATTTATGAAGTTTATGCGTTTATTCAATAAAGAGCTAATCTGTTGGATTTTCCTTGGTGTTCAGGCTGCTACTCTATTCTTTACATCACTTCCTCTTTCCCATGCTGTCAAACTCAGTATCAACATCATTACTGTAGGCCAATCATTTTCTTTTCCTCCTTTTACCCAATCAGCCTCTCTTCTTTGCGGTTTAAAGCTCCGTGCTCTTCTGTTATTTGCCTTTCTGACTTGCTTCCTCCTTATCCAAGCCTCCTTTGCCATCTTCATCACCACCAGCACGTATCATGTAGATTCTGAGCACCGGGGCAGTCTAATT